TTTTAATGAAAGTACACTAGAAAGTGACAAAGAGAAAAATACATACAATGATTTAAAAAAGAAGATAAAGTCATTCCGTAAAAAAACAGCCTTCTATATACATAAATAATAATAATGATAGACAAAGTTTTGCCATTTCAGACCGTGTCATTCCGTAGAAAATACGTTTCTTTGTTTGAGTTGTATTCATATTAATGTGTCTTCTCATGAGCAACCAAAAAATAACACTTTTCGTAATGACACTAAGAAGAGATAATTAGCTAAAAACTAGTGTGAGCTGCGTCGGTGTTTCTAATGAAACAGTAATCATGAAAGAGTAAATTATACACCGTGAAAAGATGAAAAAACTTACTGACGTTTCGGACGCTAGTCCTTCGTCGGAGTAAAAGAGGACACTAGGTCTGTGAAATGGGAAAACACTATACTTAAGCTAAATTGGTCTATTAAACTCATCACTCGTAGATAAGCTTGGTGTTAGGTGCATTAATAACAACGTATACACATATGTAGAAACACAAAACCGCTTTCTGGCAAAATAAGTCTTTTTCCCAGGAGCCTACGATTCTACTGGTCAGCAATTAAGGCTTGTCGTCTCTGCTGACCATGAGAAACGTAGGCAGTTCAAGATTATACTGCAGTGAGCATGCAAAAATGTGTGCGCACTAAAGTATCGACACCCAACTCAATATGGACGTTAGCAAGGAACTTGTACGAACTTGGTGATTAATACTCGGCGCATGTTCACAGCAAAAAAGGAAAAACCAACAACACAACAAAAACGAAAGAAACGAAACGAAACAAAATAAAACAAAAACAACTGGCTGCAGGTCTTTCGAGCAAGAAGATAATCTTCCGTGGCCTAGTATATGTTCGGGTGTTTACCAATAGTTCGGACAACACTTAGCTGTACGGAACGATACATCATATTTGAAAAATCTAACCAACATCTAGTTTTTCGTCGTTGCGTATKGAGTTGGTTGCAGAAAAAGTTAGTGTGTGAGGTTTGGCAAGCCCAATTTTTGCGATACCAGAAATCTGATTGTTTGATGGTCGAGTCCATAAAGATATCTTACATACGTCTCTCTATCAATTCACATGGCAGTGTGAGGGTATTCGACCGATTGTCCAGTGTTTTCATCAAATACATAAAAATTCTCCAACTGACAACAACTACAACAATCACAGCAAACAGGCACACTATTGATTGAGGCGCAGGACACTGTATTCCTGTGATATACTTGAGTCCTTGTCTGGACAGAGGTAGCTCTTTCAATACAACAATTTGCAGTACTCGGTGYTGTTTGTATAGGAGGAAGTCTTCGGGGCCACCTTTTCTTTGCTTGTGAGTAGACGGGATTTGAAGTTCTCTCTTGCTCTTGGGGATGACGTACTTGTGTTGGTTTGCGAGTCTTGTTTCTTGTCCCTTGTGCCGGGTAAGAGCGTTTGGTCGTCTCCAGCGTGTTGTTAAACTGTGTAGGGTTTGGACTAGTGGCCGATATGACACCCTGGTTTGCTGTGGGTTGTTGAGAGGACCTGGCTCCATGGAAAATTTGACGATTTCTTTCTTCAAAATACTTGGCCAGCTCCAACATGGAAAGCGATGTAGTTCTATGCTGATGTTTGGTTGATCGAGAATTCATCATCAGTTAACGACAAGAGGATTGTCAATTGTTAGCAGAGTTGTTTCACGGTAATGCACTTCATTCACGTAAGAAATCAATTTTGTATCCAATTAACTTCTAAAGTTACCAGTCAATTCTAGTTAGTTCGTTAAAAAATAATTAGCAAATAATCAGGCTCATCCAAATATCCATTACAGAGGGTCTAATTGCGTGTTGCGAGAAGTTCGCGACAACAATTGGTGCGTCAAACTTCACGTTTGCCACAACCTTCCTACAAAATACACGAAGTATTTTCAGAAGAGGTGGCCAGAAGATACAGACACGCAAGTCCTAACTGTCGTATATATACATGTTAGATTGTTTTTTACTGATACGAAACAAAATGATTTTTTTCATTAATTCTTCAAACCTAAGGTGGTATTCCCTTTTAAGAAAATCAGTGAAAATATTTGATTCAAACCGACATGTCAAGATGGGATAGCGGTCGCTAGGGACTCACAATTCAATTGGGCGTTTCGTTGTCATACTTTCGTGTAACTGAGACGCTGACGTATCTTTCGAATAATTCTTTCGAATAAGCCATTTGAACCATATATGGAGAGTTGGCATTGAGACAGAGCGTGCCTCAAACCATTGAAGTATCTCATGTTGTAAAAACAGGTTTCTGGTACTGGGCTGCCTGCGGGGATTTACACGCAAAAAGTAATAACCTAATTAAGTTTTCATAATCAAATAGTGGAATAGAAGATATTCGTACTGGAAATACCGCCGAACGAGACGAATTAATGATATTTTTTCCCTTCAATTCTTCAACACTTGTGGGTGGTGGTATTTAATTTYCTTTTAAAAACACATCTTTTTTAAAAAACCGAGTTGGTTATATATATAAATCGGCGAAAATTTTTGATTATTTTATTAACATTTTGGGATCCCCGTCACTGGGGACTCGCAATTGGGCGTTTCGTTGTCTTTCGAATAGAAATCGCTTAAGCCAATCCTTAGCCATTTGAACCATATATGGAAAGTTGGCATTGAGACAAAGCGAGTTTCAAACCAGTGTTGATACGCCTCAAAGGGTTAAGATTGGCGTAGGCAAAAGTAAGTCGGTCACGACTTGAAAATAAAGAAGTATTTCACGACGTAAAAACAGGTCTGCAGGTGGACTGCATGCCTATGGGTAACTCACTATGTCTTAACACGCAAAAACGATTTCCCTAGTTATGTTAGCACAACTAATCAAATAGTTAAATAACAGATATGAGAGTCACAACTATTGAGAGTTAAAAAGATTGTGAAAAACCAGCAAGAAAATCGGCCCGTAACGGCGAACGCGACTCAAAAAWAAAATTTCGAATTCACCGTTAAAAGCATAAATGTTTGAGCTACTACATGTTCTAAATTAAAACATATTCGAGTGTTTTTGACGTGATACGAGCGAGTTAAAAATATGGTAGAAGGCGAAGAAAAGGATTTCTTTCTCTACTGACTCCATCCCAAAGAGAGTACTGGACTGCCTGTGGTTACTCTAACTCGTTTGATCTGATTCCCCCTCACCTAGGTGGAAAGGTAGCCTCTCCCTTCGGAGAATTCAAGACACCGAGGCACCATTAAACAAAAAAGTAAACCAAGGACAATATATTACTATTTTCTCACAGGCCATTGCAAGATCACTTTTATCTTCTATTTTAGTAGTCTCCTTCGCAGCCGTCATTTGTTTCGGTCCCAGATCCTCGCGGAGGGCCCGTGAGGAACTGGGACTAAAACCAATGACGGCTGCGGAGAAGACTACTATTTCACTTAGAGGTTATTAAGTGAAACCACTCTACAGTCTCTCCGTGGAAAAAAATATTTAAGGGCAATATTTACCAAGCCCCGATAATCACTTAGCCTGAATTATTGTTTTAGCATAATTTTAGACTTGAATATCAGAGAAAAGTCGAAATTCAGGATTAAAAAACGTTTTAGTATAACTTTCGATCCGGTAATCTTTGGAAAACCTTATAATCACTGCTCCAGCAATGATTATCGTCTCAGAATAACCAATCGCTCGACCGAACACAGCGCGCGAAACTCTATATTTCAAGTCTAAGATTATAATAATATTAAATTAAAGTGCTACTACGACGAAAATCGCTCAAACTTGGATTCAGCTGAAACTTCCTAAGAATACTCTTTAAAGGTCCAATAATCACTGTATGAAGTGTTTTCTCGATATTTAG